GGATGTACTCGAGACTTGATTTGAACCTGCAGTTTATTCCATCACTGCTACAAGCCTGAACCAAGAACTTTGCCATTACTGTATGTAATTGATTCCATGTAGCCAGTTTTAACTCTCATATACATTTCATTCTTTTTATGAATAAACCTTTAGATTTTAGATTCTAAAGGATTGGCAACAGCGTGATTTGTGGGTAAGATCTGACTGGTATATTGACCTGGGCCTGGGGCTTGGTCTTTTGGGATTGGGAGAACCTTTTTTTTCTTTTACTGGTGTATTGGTTTTCATAACCATTCATCCCCATAAGGAGTGGTGCTGGTGGTGATATGGGGAAACTGGCGTGTCTGACGGAATTGCTAGTATGACTTCTGGTTAGCTAGTGGGGTAAAACCGAAGTCCTCTCTGTTTGGCTGGTTTGGTGTGCAAAGGACACCCAGTCTTGGGCTATAACTGCCCTGCTCTATGCTATTTGTCCTGAATTGATACTCTCAGTAGTGTCCTGCCAGAGGCTGCATCGTTACAATGTGCTTCTCCAGTAGCAGCAACAAAGACTCATCCACCAGAGAGGGGAGTACGGTGGTGATTGGAGGTCTGGAAAGGGGTGGAGAATGTGGATACGGGAGGAGCAGCTCCTCCATCGAGAGGAGAGGCTCCAAAAACCTAGGAGTGCATGACGTCCCTCTGGGCATGCCCGAGGGCCCAGGCGTTGTCAGCGGTGTTGGTCGATCCACTGACGGGACGGGCGGTGCACGTGCCAGTGAGGGTATCGCTGGATCCTGTTTGTGTTCTGCCTTGCACTCAACATGGGGCAGCTTGGGTGCTGGTCTGGTGGGATCCACATGCGACCTCTCACCCAACCTGGCCTGGGGAGGAAATGCTGCGCTTATTAGTGGTCAGGGCCGGGGATCTGCTCTTGTGCCTGTGTCCATGCTTTTTACCCTCATGGTGGGGCTTGTCCATCGCCTTTGGTACTGACAGATCCAGGGCCTGGGAGGTGTTCAGAGGGGAGCTCACCGCCAGTGATGGTCTCTATACCAGTGGTTCCAGATACAAGTGTGCCCTTGGGTGCATGACTGCATCCATTGAGAACTTCCGGAGGCAAAGCTCTCAAGCCTCCTGTGTTCAGGGTGGGAACGACTTACAAATCTAACAGCGGGCCGTGAGGTGGGCCTTCTTGCTGAGGCAGTACAGGCAACGCTGGTGCTCATTGCTCACAGAAAATGAGCACGGGCAAGAGGCACAGTTCTTCAAGCCTGGAATCCAGGCATAGTCCCCAAGGGGGGGGGTTCCCCAAATGGGGTGTGTGTGGGGGGGAATCTACACTAACAGTTATCTATGAAGAACAATAGCTATGGAACACTAAATACAGCTATGTACAACTATATACAGGAATGGAAAGTAGATCACTCTCTTAGCAAGCTAAGAGTGCAAAGGAACAGGGTTTCCGACTCAAGCCATGCAGCGGTAAGACGGAACTGGAGAGGCATCAACCCACATGGCTTATTATACCCTCAACTGTGAGCATGAGGGGACGCACGATGCACATGAGGGTCAACAAACACTGCTAAGAAAACCTTCCAATTCCAAGTATCAGGGGGTAGCCGTGTTAGTCTGTATCTACAAAAACAACAAGGAGTCTGGTGGCACCTTAAAGACTAACAGATTTATTTGGGCATAAGCTTTCGTGAGTAAAAA